TCTTCCGGAAACCTCGTGTTCAGGCGGAGAAACCCAGGGATTCTGTGTGCTTTGCGAGGAAGCCCTGAAAGGAAGCCTAGGAGTAGTGATTTTCCTATGAAAAAACACACTCCAGTGGTTTTACTTGCCGGAAATAATAGGTTTTCACCCCGTAGTGCTGTATTTCCTAGCAAAAACCATACCTTTGAAACCATATGTAAAGGAATACCTAGGTTTCCTCGAGGAAATCCACTTAAAATAGGCCTTAATGTACTTTATTCCCCGTATTTTGTAGGGGTTCAGGGACAGCCTTGACTGCTTTCGCAGCCACCAGCACTTCTGGCCTTGTCTGCAGGGCAATCCGGCTCGGGACTCGTTTTCCTGCAGGAGGGAGGCAAAAGTGAGGCGTTACTTTCGCGTTACTTTGCGTTACTTTCCGTTCGGTGCTCGTGCCTGGAGAGTGCGGGGCGTTACTTGGGCGTGACTTTCGTTACTTTGCCTTTTCTGGCTCCGAGCCAGCTTTTCTCGAGGTCTGCAGTACCAGGGCTTTACAGGAGGCAGTTTCAGAGGCTTCGGCCGGATTTCGTCAGGGGCATTGCTTCCGATTGGGGCTCACCGTGGGTTCGCAGGCTTCTTTCAATTCGAACAAGGGTTGAGGATTACCCTGAGCCATGTCTGCACGTGTGCCTGCAGATGCTGGAAGCACAGCTACAAGCCGGCATTATGTGTACCATTGTCGCTACTTTCGCCACCATAGACCTACGTCGTATGCATACTCTACCCCTGAAGGCCCTGGCTAGGACTGTGTAATAATTTACAATCATATACATGTAGGTGCCCCGGATATTATATTAGGCCCCACAGAGAGCTCTATGCCACGACACCATGCAACCCAGTTAAAACAAAACTTGGCATGTGGTCCGAGTTCTTCTACCTATCGTGAACCATTATGCTTAAGCTTATGTCTATTGTACATGCATATGTGTGCATGGACCTATGTATACATACATATATATATATATATATGTATATATATATACACACGTATATATATATATATATGTATATATACACGTATATAATATACTGTGTGTGGAATATATGGAAACTACACATAGGGGACTGTACACGGCATGTGGTGTTGCTGTGGGTATACAACACGCCTTTTGAGATTGCTCAGGCTGATGCCGCAGAAGATTCGTTTGACATGGAGAAGGAACTGCAGGATGTGGCAAAACGAGTGAGGGACTCCTCGGGGATACAGGCGGCGGTCGCCTTGACACCCGCCACGAAGAGTCCTGACCTGAAGAGATCCCGCCAGTTTTCGCCAGAGGTCTTGGAGGCCCCGTCGCAGCAAGGTGCTTCGCAGGCTTCGGGCTCCTCTGCTCGAGAGATGGCCTTGGAGGGCCTTCCCCAGCCTTTGCCTCCTGTGCCTAGCACACCCAGCTCGAAGGGCACTTTGGCAATGGAGGCACCAGTCCCAGTGAAGCCTCCTTCCCCGGAGAAGCCTGGACAGCTTAGCCCTCGCAACCTCATGCCGGCGCTAGAGGTTGCTCCTAGCCAAGCATTTTGATCGAATGTGAAACGCAACTTGTAGCATGGCAGTGTTGTGTACTGTAGCATGACACCAAGGCTGATACCCTGGTGGAGCCGCAGATCGTGGAGCAACAGCTGGTGGAGCAAAGCCAGCAAGAGCCTCTCAAGGTGGTGGAGCAAAGCAAGCAAGAACCTCTCGTGACGGAGCAGAGCAACCCAGAACCTCTCGGGGTGGAGCAGAGCAACCAAGAACCTCTCGTGGCGGAGCAGAGCAAGCAAGAACCTCTCGTGGAGCAGAGCAAGCAAGAACCTCTCGTGGAGCAGAGCAAGCAAGAACCTCTCGTGGTGGAGCACACGCAGTCCAGTGACAGCTGCTAGACCCGTCAAGTATATAACATGTGTATTTATTATATGTGTCAAAATATGATGCTGATCAAGTGCACTTTCAAACGATTGCTGTATATGGTGTTTTGCAAAACAGTGAATTGCTGCTGTGTATCAGGAGTGCACCGTCTTGACACCATGACCACGCTGACCTTGGGCCGCAGCTACACGCTGGATTCCATGGTGATGGACACCCCTCTCAAGCCAACAGGGCCACTGTAGTTGCCGGAGCAAGCCCTTGTGCTGCAGAACAAGCTGTTTACTGCTTTCGGTGATGGTGCAGATGAGAATGATTCGAAAAGCAAGCTCGACCTGGCTGATCTAGTGGTGGAGTGGATCAAGGATCTGCAGAACGTGGAGCTCCATGCAGGGCCGGGTGACGATGAGTTTAGCAGCATGGCGAAGAAATGCATTGATGATTGGGGAACCGTGTGCTCCTTGGTGAAGACTAGGGAGACCCAAAAGCAGCAGCATCACGTGAAGATGGAGCACGTGGAGCAAGCTGTGGCCAAGGCTCTCGGACAAGTGGTGCAGACGGGCCTCGCAGGGGTTTCCTCCCACAGCCAGGCCATCGCGGCCAAAATGGCATCATGGAAGAAGGGGATCCTGGATGAAGGTGCACGCCAGCTTGCAGCCACAGATGCTCAGATCAATGAGGCTGTGCAGAGGGCGGAGGCGACAGTGGGTGGCCTCTTGAGGCTTGCCCGCTCTTTGTATGAGCGGGACAGGCCAAAGACTGAGGATGAGATTGTTGCAGCGATGATGCTGCAGGTCGAGCAGCACATGGAAACCCTGGCACTCTCGGGCAGTGCTGGTGCAGCTGGGACCGGGGGAACGATCCAGACATCCCCCATGGATGTGTGCCCTGCTTCGGCTCACCCCGCCAAGGACATGGTTTGAAACATGGTGCCTCCATATGCAGGTGTATGTACATGCATGCCCGTATGTGCCATGTAGCATATATACATATATATATATATATAATATAGAGAGAGAGATATTCTTCTGGGTACTCATATATGCATGCATAATATTTTCCTACTATATGGGATGGTGTGCACACATGTACATGTACCATGTACATACACACCTGCAATGTGCATACACATGTACATACATATATACCGTCACAAGTTAGGGGTTATGTTGCATACGTGTCCACAAACCTCCCTAGGCCTATAGCATATAATATATTTATTGTACCATAAGGTTTGGGCTTTAATGCTTAGCAGGAGGAGCGACCTCCACGTGGAATGCTGCCCCCGCCCCCTCCTGATCGTGCTGTGCAGCTTCAACTCGAGCTCACGCGGACCGGGCTTCAGCGCCTGGATGCCACCGTGCTTCAGGCTGCTAGGGGGTCGCCGTAAGTGTATAAGGATCCCATATTGAAACATACACCCAGCTACATACTAGCAGAGGGGTGATGTGGCTAGCTATGTATGCTATCAGTGAGACACTGAGCACCATACCTAAACCTGCAATCTTTGTATGTAAAGACCAGCCTTGACCATGACTCCCTTGTAACACAGTAGCAGCTTTGGATGCCCTCGTCACTAGTGGTCGTCGTGGCAGTAGTAGTAAACCTGTAAATATGTCTATATATATATACATATATATATATATGTGTACATCTGTACATATAGAATACATATATATATATATACATGCAGATGTATGTACGACTACAATGCTGTTTGTATGTATATATATAGGCATATCTGTTATATACATACACATACCTATAAAGCTAGCAGACAGGAGCAGCAGCAAGAGGAGAGGCATGTAATTGCAGTACATGTTGGAGTAGCAATATTCCAGACGGCATCCGATTCAAAGTGCTAGCAGAAACTAGTACCTGGATATTCTAGTATACAGGAATACTTATAATAACCTACATGGAATCATCGTTAAAGTGCAACCACCCCGATCCCTGCTATACAGGAAGACACGCTGAAAGAGATGATGCAGTACGGCTTGCTGTTGCAACGTGCCGACGGCACCTACGAAACCCCGGACGAGCAGGACCGAAGGCTTGCTCACAACATGCGGATGAGGTTCAATCGGAGCTTCGACAGTGCCCTGAAAGAATTGGTACCGGTGGTTTATGCACTATCAGCTAATCGTATTTTAGCTTCAATAATGTATGTAAACCAGCTGAAACAAAACAAACACCTCGGCTTAGAATGTGCTATCCCAAGCCGCTATGTAGCCCACTATGCCAGCAACAACAGCATACACTACCAGATGCTATCCTGGAAGCCCAACCCAACTGGAACCAAGATTGGCTTAAAACCGACTCTTGATGCAAGGCCCGCTTTGCCCGCAGCCTGTGCTGGAGGCGGCAAAGGGGAAGCGATACAGCCACCTGACGAAAATCACGAATTGGTATAGCCTTTCGTTTCCTCTGGGGTATGAGGGCAAATATGACATATTGTTCTGTTATCATTAAGTTTCTAGGGTGAAGTTTTGCATCACATCTCAGATCGAACAATCATTGCGAGACTCTTCGAAGAGTGGGTCCAGGCTGCCGAAAACTGGGACAACTCAAGCATCGTCTTTAACGCCAAGCTCTCCAAAACACAACGACGCCGCGGAAAATACGTTATGAAAACGTTTCGGGACCTGAAGGCACTGTACGGCAGCGCCAGTGCCAAGGCAATCCGCGAAAAAAAAAAGGAGTTGGGCTCCGAATGGTGGTGGCCGCATCCAGAAATGGGGGAGAGCGAGGACATCGATGTCGAAGCAGTCACTAGATATACGTCCACACATGTCTATAATAACATATCTAGACCGTATACTAGGTTTAATATGTATATATATATATATATATAGTAAGGTTGCATATATATATATATATAATATAACATAACAAACACACTTATGTGCGAAGCATGTATCGTGTATATCCAACAAGATGTGTATATATATAGACATGTTAAACTGGGAGGGTTTTCATTGTAACATGGATATAGTGAAAGTTTAGGATGTATAGGTAGTGGTGTACACTGCTCTAAGTACACATGAGCCCACACTTGCAACATAATGCTTTGTACAGAGCCTTGCATAAGCAGGAGTGGGAATGCTTCAAAGTGTACGACTCCATGGAGTTCGAGGACGACGAGACGAGCACGCAGGAGCATTCGTTCAGGGCAGAGGGCACTCTCGATGCTGATGCTACAAGGGCTCTTGTGTGCCGCGACTTCCAATATTGCAGGTTTTACATATTGTTGGATGGATTTCGGATAAGCCTTCACTTCCTCTATGGGATTGAGTCTGGGGCAGTCGGGGTTCCACCCAATTATAGGATCTCTCATCACTTTCAACACCTACCTGGCCACTATACAGTCTATAATTAGCTAGTGTACTTATGTACTAGGATATGGGCCCATTTAACAGATTACTTTTAACACATATAGGCCTCTACTGCTTGTTGCTTGATTGTTGCACTAGCTAAGGGGAAGCTACCACCAGCCGGGCGCTCCGGCCAGTTCGTCCTACTCGGTGATCCCTGTGCCTGCTAAGATGCCTCCCGCCCCGCCCGCCACCCCCGGTGCCGGCGGTCAAGCCCCAGAGCAAGTCCCGGGAAAGGGAAAATCCAAAGGCAAAACCTCCCTGCGAAAAGCCGCCACGACAAAGCTCTCTCAAATCTCTTCGAAGCTAACCGAAGCCCGTGTTCTGGCTGCCGAGCTGCCTGCTGCCACGCAAATGCCTCTCAGCCTGAGAAGATCAGATTATCAAGAGCTGATTTGATTGATTAATATTATGTAGCCATCCTTAATGAGATCACACACCAAGCCATCATTTGTAGCTTCCCGCGGCCTCCATCTCCGAAACAAATAGTTAATGATAAACCACGTGTGCCAAACTGCCCTTCAACTGTACATGTACATATGGTCGGTATGCCACAGTCCCTGGCCTTGTACTCTGAAGCTAAAAGCCTGGACCCCAAACCCTGCAACCTGCAATATTGTATTCCGGACTGGATACCATAACAACTCCTAAATCGCACTGATCTCAAATGTACACCCAGTGAAGTCCATGCCAAATGTAACATCAATACCCCTCCAGTACTAATCTTAGAATGCAATCAAAGGCCCCTTTCCGACCTTACACCCCGCGAGCTTAAAGTCCCCAAGGCTCCTATGGACCCTATGTTTCAGACAGAATCCACTTCTTTCTTCAGGTCTGACAAGATGAGGGAGGGCTACTCCCAGGAGCTCGAGGAGGGCAAGCAGTTGGTGGAGGAGGCTCGGGGAAAGCTCGAGGCATGGTTTGCACGAAAGTTGGACGATGTTGACATTGTGCCCCGGTTCAAGACTTTAATGAAGCAACCACTTTCCAATCCTGTCAGGTCGTCTTGTAATCAGTCCTCCTTGAAACTATCTGAGGTGGGCCCCGAGAGAGCTGTGTATGACGAGATTCTTCGGGACGTGGAGAGCGCATTCGTTGTGCTGAACGGCAAGATGAAAGCCGTGAAAACGGCTACTGTTTCTAGGCTTTGACTATACACATCATGCTATGCATACTCCGGAATGCTTGCAGCTACATGTGTCCCAGGCCACGCCGAAGGAAACCAAAGCGAAGGCCAAGGGCAGGGCTGGCAAGGGCCGCTGAGCAGGTGTCACTGCCTGCTCAAGGGTGCTTCTGATGACGGGTAGGCTATCGAGCTTCTTCGTGATAGCCTATCAGTAGGAATTTTGGCGCCGAGTCTTGTGCCATGGCCATCAGAAGCAGCTGGGATATGTGGCACTCTTAATATATGCGTAGTATCCAGAGCTCTAGAGCTGGAGGGCTGTGGGGTTTCGGGCTTTAGGGCTGTAGCTAGTGTTTCTACATCCGGGATACATATCCCAAGCCGGTTAGATAGCTAGCTAGATGTTGTAGTGGGTACAATCTAGAAAGATGCTGCATTGTGCAGCTGCGATGAGCCATAGGCGGTTTAAAGCTTGCTTGCATTGACTAGGATGCAAGACCTTTTAGAGCAGCGAAGCTGTTGCAGCTGAACCGCTGCGACGTTGGTCGTCGCCCGATCTACATGTGTGCTCTTCTTGCAAAATGCATTGTGTCAGACTGTAGATGCAGCAAGATTGGTCAGACAGCTAGGTGTGGACTAGAATAATATGCATACTGCCCACGCAGGTCGGAGTGTGAGCACTCCTCTCCATGCATATGTCTTGCGGAGCATCGGCAAAGGAGCTACTGGCTTGCATTATAATTTGCTTAAACCCTAGACCCCCAAACCCTAGTAACAACTTAAACCTAGCGATTACTGCACGCCCCTAACCGTCGCCCTGGATGGTAGTTAAGGTGTAACCACTAGTGCAGACGGTCCTACTGTTAGTACTGCACTAGTGCAAGCCACATCCAAACATCATCCCCGAAACCCCAGGCCACGCTTGGAATTGCAATGATTCGAAGTTGCACGTGACCTGACACACTAAACTATCTACGAAGCCTTAGCCTTCCAACCCTGCTCCAACCCCAAGCTTGAAACTTCGGCCTTCTCGATTTGTCTTCTCCTGGGCCTGCATCCAAGCCGAGGTGACTTCGTTTGTGGGGGCTCGCGAGATGCTTGAGGCTGTGAACCAAGAGTTCCAGGTCTCGGGCATGGAGCTTGGAGGAGCTGCAGGGCATTTGATTTCCTCTTCGGGAAAATGGCCGAGCAACTTTCAGCGGGATATGCTCCGAAAGTGCAAAGCTGCCAAGGTCTCTTCTATGCATGTTCACATATGCACTTGAGGGTCTTCTGTGTTTATTGTTACCTAGCTACATTTCACTGCAATATATGGTGTTACTAGGTGCCCCATCCCAGGTTCCGGTTACCAAGTTGCAGGTCCCGGTAAACGCGAAGGGCATGCTGAAGAAACGGCCTCTGGTCTCAATCTTCAATGCTTTAAAATTTAGAGTAGACTACAGTCCTAGAGTCGTGTAATCCAAGGAGTCTTCCTGTGGTGCTGCCTCACGAGGTGTTTCCTTGGCTTGTGAAGCAGGGTATTATTCCGCTGAATGATACGGCTGAGATTGGAGAGTTCTGGTCTCATGCTAGAACGGCCGGGATGCCAACCATGGGGGCCACGGACTCGCATATCCCGCTGTATCTCTGGGGTGACGATGCCAGATTCACAGAGACGCACGAGGATAAGCTTGTGGTTGTGGCTTTTGGCAGGGTGCTTGAGACTTCCAAGAATGCCCTCGAGACAGTATGGCCTCTCTTTCTTTACCAGCAGGTGGGGAAATCCAAGCTAGCATTATCTATTATTCTTACCGATATTAATAGTCCCTTTGAAACCTATGTCCTGATTTTCAGCCACCCAGTACGACCTCAAAACCTAAAACATGTCAAAGAAACAAGTAATATATTATAATATATATTCTAGACCTACGTAACCCTGAGGGGCAAAGCGCTGGGCCTGGGACTCTCAACACCTTCCTGGAGGAGGCTCTTCATGGGATTTGAGTAGTCCAATTAAACAGTGCAAATGATGGAAGCATAGCTAGACGGAATTTAGCTTTTTGGAATGGCCGGAGGTCGTGGCTTCTTTCAACATCCTCTTTGAGCAGGGTGTCATGGTGGAGACTCCAAGTGGCGAACGCAAACGTGTTTTTGCTGCAGTGGTGCAATTTCAAGGCGATTGGAAGTGGCACAAGGCCGCCCGACATTAGTGAACAAGCCCGAATGTACCTCAATTATTAAGACGCGACCACATAATCCCCAGTCCCCAGCAAGCCTCCACTCCTGCTCGGCGGTGGCCAGAACTGTGAAGAGGATGCAAAGGGAGAGAGGGGTGGCAGCTTTTGCCACCCCTCTCCCCCTTTGCACCCCCTTGACCTGGGACAGTACTCGTGTTGCTAGGTTTCCGGTTTAGGGGTTTAGTTTTTCTTTTATGGGTTTGGGGTTCTAGGGTTCAGGGGTTTAGGGGTTTAGGCGATCTTTTTTTGTTAAGGGCTTAGGGTTCAGGGGTTTAGGGGTTTAGGGTCTAGGGGTTTAGATGCTTAGCCCTTTGACTCTGCAGTACTCAGGGGCCCCTACGGATTCAGGACTAGTCGAAACCACCGGCTTACGCTTGTTGTGGCGGCATTCAAACTGCAACTTCTAATCCGTTATCCCTGCAACACAACCCGAGTCTTGTGATGAGAAGTTTCCTGTAATTCTCTACACTACACGAAGATCCTGCCTCAGGGTATTACATGGCCCTAATCCCAACTCCTTAAGATAATAATATATTTAATACTTATAAATTAAACCGACCCCCCCCCCCCCGATGAAAAAGATCTTCCTCCTGGGGCTAAACCTATAGCTACAGCGGCCTCATCCCATCTTTAATTACAGAAATTAAAATTAACAATAACCCTAAACCCTATAAAACCCTAAAACCCCCAAACCCTAAAACCCTAAAACCCTAAACCCTAAAACCCTATATATAATAAGACCTAATTAACATGGCCCTTCAGGAATGGCTGGCGCTGAAAGTGGGGTGGTGCTGCAATCAAGTTTGTCATCACTGCAAAGCCCACAAGAGCAACTACGCCAGTGTGCCGGGAAACCTTGATGAAAGGCGAGATGCAGCAGACTTCGAAGAGCACGCCTGCCGCAAGTCGGAGTGTGACCGGCTGCATAATTACTAGGGCTTGCTCTAGCTAGGGGTCGTGGGCTCAGTTTACTATAAGGTAGGCACCAGCCTTAATATTAAAAACTATGCTTCTAAGCCCGGTTCCTGAAACCCCGGAGCCCCTATATATATATATATGGTATGTGTATAAGTATTCTAGAAAGGTTCCTTGCTACGCCTGAAGAACTTCAGCCCGGAGTATATTCGTTGGTGCAGCATGCACACGCTTAACTTGGGGCTGGTGCAATTCCTCGTCGGCTCCGGTCTTCGGCTGATGTTGCGGGACAGACGATGGTGTGAACATGATGTCTACGACGACGACCAACAACTTAAGCGGGCCTATGCCGAGTTCGACGAGTGGTGCAAGGCCCACCGTATCCCGCACCTTGACTTCGAAACCCGTGCAGTAGCTAGGTAAAGATGCTGTTTACACGTTGCATGGTTTATTCAAACTCAGACACAGCCAACCGGCCTTCAAGATGTCCAACCTGGATCGCTACCCCACGTTCCAGTGCAAAGCTTACAATGCAACTCAGCTGGCAATGGTCCGATGTGTTGACACGATACGGTAAAAATTGCTAGATGTAGTGCGAAGCTAGCTTATCGTGACCCCTATGCAGGGACGAGTCGTGGTTGCATGGCTGGCCAACAAAGCTGTGCAGTATCTGGAAACGGAATCGCAGCAGCTGCTTGCCGCCTCCCTGTGCATCGGCTTCAATATCAACGCATCGTTAATTAATAACAATAAGGCTGAAAGAGCATCCACATGACCCTTACATCAATCCTATTTGCGGTTCCTTACGCGACACGAGGAAGATAAGACTTCGACCGGCTGGTAGTTGTAATTAGCCTATATATACCAAGCAACCCTTTAACTCCCACACACCTGCAAAACCCTCAGACACCAGCTCTCGACCCATGGAAATACAGAAACCCTGAACCCCGACATATCCTAAAGCACTGAAACCTCGAGACACCGCGGTATTCCAATATTGAAACATGTCTAGTCCTGAACAATCTGTAAAATCAATGGAACCCATAAGCCTGCCAACCCCATGCTACTTTCCAGAATCCCAGGTGGCACCTGGCGAACTGGTTCAATGTGACTGAGCGATGCTCGCGATACCTGCAACCCGAGGATGCCAGCACGCTTGTCTGTGCATGTGTTTCTCGGCTTAGGCTTGGCTGCTGGTCAGTTCATCTAGAAATATTTGAAGAATCCATCGCTGTGCGTTTTTCAATTGAGGACTGCTCTTTGGATGCCTACCTGCAGCTGGCAAAGCGAGCTGTGGAAGAGAAGATCTGCCTCTTTCCAGTGAAGCCGAAGTTTCATGCCATGTTCTCAGATTCAGTTGTTATTCTAATGCGAGGGGCTTCGTTCAGTCAAGTTTTCTATATCGTGTGGAAAACCTGTACCTCAGGGATGGCAGGAGCTTGCATTCTGGGCTGCGAAGCACCGTAACTTGTCGATACGAGGAACCTTACATTCTCGCTTGATTGCATCATGATGAGTGCAACTGCAAGGGTAGTCATGAGCTTCGCATTCCAAGGCATTAACCCGCGAACCTATCACTGCTTCCGGCAGGAGGATATGGTTGGGTCTGTGGTGAGTACGGGTCTTGGCTGCTGACTTGTCCACCTGTACAAGTCAAAGTAGTCAGCAACACCTGTCGATAGCAGCACGAATCTTATTGTATTCTGGCCAAGGAATTGCTCAGGCATGCCACAAGAGATCGGTGGAAGAAATGACCTTGGCCCGTGTGTATCTTCAGCTCTGCTACTCAAAGGGTAGCGGAAGCCACTGAAGGTTTCGTGCTTGCAAGCTGTAGCCGTGAAAGGTAGTCGTAGCTTTGCAGCAAGAGTTAGACAATGCAGCTGTAAGCTCGATCCGTTTAATTCTATGCCTAGTGAGGGTATTCCCTCATGAGGACGAAGTTAATTACATGTGTACCGTCGTCTGCCTCGGGCAAGCTGGCGACGTCGCCGCGACAGCCAAAACGCCATGGAGGCAGTGGACCCCAAACTGTAACGTTCAAAACACCAATCCCGAATACCCATAGCTGGCATTGTAGCAATCCGCGACTGTAAACCCCGAACTCTTCCTGTTACGGTCTCTCAAGCCCCCTGATCTCTTGGACGTAGGGATATAGGGAATTCAGATTCGAAATGGGATTTCAGGTAGGAGTGGGCCAAAGGGTGCACACATCAGTCAGAGCCGACGACGACTACAATGCCGAATACATCCTGCTCATGCTCTTAAGCCCCGGCGCCTTGAGCCCTTGAACCCCAGCATAGATGCCCTATTAATGGCACGGATCCCTAGAAGTTTGAAGCTGAATGTAGGAAGTTGTGATCTAGATCAAAGATAACCCCAAGCTCTGAAGCCGCTGGAAATACATATGGTTGCTGGTGAGGCTCGTGAGCTTTGAGCTCGCATGGAATACATAGCTAGCCCCCTCCAGACTTAGGGTGCAGGTTCGATGCTGAATGCCGTCTGACCCTGCTGTGCTTGGTTCTAGGGTGTTGAATGAACTCTCTGTGACCAGACCTTCGGCCAAAAATCCTAAACCCCTCAACCCTAAACCCTTACCGGATCCCTTAAATGTGCCCTTTCAGGCCCCAGAAGCCCCCAAAGGAAACGATTACTTTAAGACTACTGCTTCTGCTTGCTGCCCCCTAGTACGATGCTGACTCTGGTGATGTTTGCGGCAGTCACATTTTCGTGTGTCGGTGTTCGCCTTATGAAAACTTTTGTTGTGCAGCTGCTGCTGTTCTTATCAAATAAAGCCCTTAGCTTACTGCGGCTGATGGGAAAGAAAAGCTGTAGAGCCGAATGTGGCGATGGCCGGCCACCTCACTTCAGAAGCAAGGACGCACTCAAGATGATCTTGCGACGTCAGTATTCTCTCAGCAGAATGCTTCGTGCCATTAGACCTTGGAGGCTTCTGTGCTTGGGTGGCATAAAGGTGAACATCAATAGCTAGACATAGGCAGCTGACATTAATCTTATTATAGTAACCCAGCAAGGTATGGCCGTCAGCTTGGACTCTGGCCCGTCGTCTTCGCCGGTCGCAGAAAGCTTCGAAAAACACCAGATGCAGATGCAAGATGACAGGGAGCAGTGCAGTAGCAAGCAGTAGTCTGCTGAAGAGTTGCCAATGCCAGTTTAAAGACACGAGAGCTTGCTGCGGCACTGTCGGCAAAGCAGCGAAAAGATACATCCCTGAGCTAGCTGCCCATTTCAGTGACATCTGCAAGGAACACACTCTTTAGAATTTGATGTCAGTCGTCGCTGTCGTCTGATTACGTCGGAGTCGTGGTCGATCTAACAAGCCGATTGGCCAATGTCTCTGTATTCAATAACATAGGGACAACATCTTGTATGCACGAACACGGCCCCCAATGTGTCTACACTCAGCGACACGGACCCACAGGGAAATAAAGCCGAACTTGTATCTGACGAATTCATTCACTTAAGGAGGCGAGTTTTAGTCTTCTGGTTGATGCAAGTGAATTGCATGGGTGCAAGTGAAAGAGGAAGAGCATCAGGGTCCGCTGGGACCCCATGGTGGGGGTGGGTGCAAGGATCCTGGTTCCGGAGAACGATCACAGCTTTTGTAGACAGCTCCTGGCTCTGGGCTGTGAGGACGGCCAGACGAGGGTCTGGCTCTGGAGAGCGGAGAACAAGCACCGTTGCAGCGGCCCAGCTGACCATGGGCTGTGAGGACGGCCAGACCAGGGTCCAACCCCGAGGCTGCACCCTGGTCCCAGCCCAAGGAGCCTGGGTCCTGTGCAGGCTGCTCCCCTGGGCCCAGGCCTAGCAGGCCTAGGCCCAGGAGCCAGCCCTAGGCCTAGGGCCCTAGGGCCCTAGGCCAGCCCCCAGACCCCCGTCCTGGCACGAGCAACCCCGAGGCTCCAGGCCCAGTCCTAGGCCGGCCCTTGATGGCCATGGAAAGGAAAGAGAGGCCGTAGAAGGCTCTTGAATACAGAATGCTATTCCTGCCAGTAATCTTGATTTCTCTTATACTTCCTCTTATAATTTATAATATAATTTCCCTTATGATTTCTTTGAATTATTATTAAATAAAGCCGAACTTGTATCTGACGAATTCATTCACTTAAGGAGGCGAGTTTTAGTCTTCTGGTTCCCGAAAGCATCGCGAAGGGTTCTTCCGTGTGGAACGCCGCAGCTGAGTACATAGATGACAGACATAGAATCAACTTACTTGACTCCATACTTTAGTCTACACTTGATACTTGACTCTACACTTGATACTTACTTACTTACTTGACCCCTATGACTGACTCTCTACACTTGACACTTGACTCTATGATACTTGACTCTACACTTGATACTTGACTCTATGTTATGCTTACGACTTACTTACTTACTTACTTCAATCTACTTACTAACTTACTTGACACTTGACACTGGACTCTATGTTACATACTATACTTACTACTTACTGACTTACTTACTTATGATTACTTACTTATGACTGACTCTCTATGCATCTATTTGCATCTATGACTTACTATGACTTATGACTTATGACTTATGACTTACTCTCTACATCTCGGTATCTTAATATTTCTTTTAAAGGCGGGGGTGGCACCGTCGGGGTCCATCGGGAATGCAACCCTTCACAGGGATTCGCCTCCTCGGGCGTTCAAACGCGAGGTAAAGTTACACATTTTGCGGTGCCCGCGCAACCCTTCCCAGGGATTCGCTGCCTCGGGCGTTCAAACGCTAGGTAAAGTGACACATTTTAGGCGCACCGCGCAACCCTTCCCAGGGATTCGCTGCCTCGGGCGTTCAAACGCTAGGTAAAGTGACACATTTTAGGCGCACCGCGCAACCCTTCACAGGGATTCGCCTCCTCGGGCGTTCAAACGCGAGGTAAAGTTACACATTTTAGGCGCCCGGCGCAACCCTTCACAGGGATTGGAACTCTCGGGCGTTCAAACGCGGGTAAAGTTACACATTTTGCGGTGCCCGCGCAACCCTTCACAGGGATTCGCCTCCTCGGGCGTTCAAACGCGAGGTAAAGTTACACTTCTTGCGGGCGCCGCGCAACCCTTCACAGGGATTCGCCTCCTCGGGCGTTCAAACGCGAGGTAAAGTTACACTTTTTGCGGGCGCCGCGCAACCCTTCACAGGGTTTGGGTGCAGTTCAATTTTTTTTGCAACCTTTCACAGGGATTTGCATTTTGCAACCCTTCACAGGGATTGGCGTGGTCGGGTGTTCGAACGCGAGGTAAAGTTGCATTTTTTGATTTGCATTGAAATGAATTTTGCAACCCTTCACAAGGATTGGAGTGGTGGAGTGTTCGAACGCGAGGTAAAGTTGCAATTTTTGATGAGCATTGAGATGAATTTTGCAACCCTTCACAAGGATTGGCGTGGTGGAGTGTTCGAACGCGAGGTAAAGTTGCAATTTTTGATTAGCATTGAGATGAATTTTGCAACCCCTCACAGGGATTGGCGTGGTCGAGTGGTTGAACGCGAGGTAAAGTTGCAATTTTTGATGAGCATTGAGATGAATTTTGCAACCCTTCACAGGGATTGGCGTGGTGGAGTGTTCGAACGCGAGGTAAAGTTGCAATTTTTGATGAGCATCGAAATGAATTTTGCAACCCCTCACAGGGATTGGCGTGGTCGAGTGGTCGAATGCAAGGTAAAGTTACACATTTTGCGGTGCCCCGCGCAATCCTTCATTGAGAGGGATTAGCTTCCTCGAATGTTCTAATCGGAAGGTGTGCAGGTACTGTTGCATGGTCTTTGGGCGCTGCGTGTAACCCTCTGCATGGATTGGCGTGGTCCATGGTTGAAACGTGTGTGCAAACTACTACTTGTATCCTTTCCGCCGTGCAACTCTCCACAGGGAGTGGCGTGGTCGATTGCAGGAACTTGCATCTCTGCGAGGTGCAATTGGCAACCCTTCAGAGGGATTGGCAGATGCATATATCGATAATATACGCACATATATATATATATATATATATATATATATCTCTATCTTTCTATCTATCCATATATAGATAGATAGATAGATAATAGATATATAGATAGATAGATAGATAGACATATATTCATGCGCCTGTACGGCGCGTACGCTGTCTTGCGACGGCGCAACGCGCCGCTGCCTGGCCGATGACCTTCAGGCTCGGAGCTTCTTCCTGCTTTGTAGAGGCTTTCTCCTTGCACACGTTTGACTCGCAGGCTGCCTGGTCGATGACCTGCAGGCTCGGAGCTTCTTCCTGCGTTGTAGAGGCTTTCTCCTTGCACACGTTTGACTCGCAGGCTGCCTGGTCGATGACCTGCAGGCTCGGAGCTTCCTCCTGCTTTGTAGAGGCTTTCTCCTTGCACACGTTCGACTCGCAGGCTGCCTGGCCGATGACTTCTGCTACTGTTTGGATTCTTGAATGATCCGTTCTTCCTCTTGAGAAGTCGCCATTGAGATGGCACACTTTGCAACCCTTCAGACGAGCTTAGCCAGCACCACTCCAAATGCGCGGCTTGTCTTGGCGGGACGGTGCCCGCGGCCTGTGCAAGCAACCTGCGAGTCCGTTGTGTTCGCCTAGGCAGCACTACTCCAAATGCGCGGCTTGTCCAACCCGCGAGTCCGTCGTGCTGGCCAACGAGAAGCTGGCTCTTGACGTTCTGCCCTGCAGTCATCTTGGCTGCCTCGCCACAGAATGTGGCCGCTTGGAGGCTTGGACCTGCTCTGGTGGTATCAGCATGATGACAGCCGCGATGGCGCGGATGACGGTTCCTGTGGAGCGCCGCTAGCACAAGGGGTGG